AGAGAGAGAGAGAGAGAGAGAGAGAGAGAGAGAGAGAGAGAGAGGGGAGAGAGAGGGAGAGAGAGAGGGAGACAAAGGGAGAGAAGGTTTCTACTTCAAATCTGATCAACGTATAACATCAAAATCGTCCGTGCTTTCAAAACTTCCAAAGGAATACACAACATATTACGTTAAAATACAGTTCTATTATAGACTCTATGCACACTTCAACGTAATTTTAGAAAAGATAAACTAATTAAGAGTTCTTTCTGTTTGAGGTGCTCCTTCAATTCCTGTTTTGTTACAAAAGATCAACTACAAAATATTTCTAGTTTTTAAAAAATCTCTTTTGGGGTTTTTTCTCTAAGGCCCTTCTCTAATTCATATTTTCATCCAAATTTGAATATATGAGTGAAAGTAATTTTTTTGTTTCTGTTCATTGTTTTGTTCTTTCCTCATCCATACTATCGCCATTTTCCCCTCTACTTCTTTTGAATGTTTGTCACTCTCTTGTGAACTGCTATTTCCGGGGTGCCTTGATAGTCGAAGCTGACTTTGTCCTGTTGAGGCTAGAGAGGTGAGCAGAGTAAGCCTGATTCCCCTTTTGGACTTCTCTGTTGACATCCACCCCTTGGCATTCATATGACCTTATGCAGTTGCGAGCGCCGTAAAACCTTACTAAAACAAATGTGTTTTCAAGGCGTGGTTCTGTTCAGAGCGTTCACATTTGACCCCGTGTTTCTTTTTTTTCCGGTGTCCTGATTTTCGTGCCCACATTTGTCGGTTACGTAAGAATGTACTGACATGGTGCAAATTGTTATGTTTTCTTGAAAAACGAAGCATGAAAAAGGGGAATCGTGTTTCTGTGTCCCCAGCGTGTGGTTCTGTCAAGCACGTTCACTTTTGATCCTGTGTTTCTGTGTTCTCAGGGAGCTACTGCTTTTCTTTCCTCATCCATACTATCGCAATGTTTTCTCTACTTCTTTTGTTCACCTTTGACCCCGTGTTTCTGTATTCCAAGGGTTTTTCCATCTTTGACCCCGTGTTTCTGTGACCTCAGAGTGTATTCACCTTTGAACCTCGTGTTTCTGTGTTCCCAGAGTATTGCCCTGTTCACCGCGTCGACCTTCACCCCCGTGTTTCTATATTCTCAGGGTGTATTCACCGTTGACCCCGTGTTTCTGTGTCCCCAGAGTGTATTCACCTTTGACCCACATGTTTCTATGTCCTCAGAGTGTATTCAACTTTGACCTCGTGTGACCCCGTGTTTCTATGTCCCCAGGGTGTTGTCCTGTTTAGCGCGTCGACCTTCACCCCTGTGACGTACGTGGGCTACAAATTCCCCTCCTGGGCACACGCCATCGGGGGCGTCCTGGGCCTATCCTCCATCATCTCCATCCCCGCCTACATGGTCTTCAAGTTCCTGAGTACTCCGGGAGCCTGGAGACACGTAAGTCGGTCGAGGATTTCTGGCATTCATTTGTGAGGCAACGTGGTTGTTGTTGTTATTGTTGTTGTTGTTGTTGGTGGTGGTGGTGGTGATGGTGGTGGTGGTAGTGATGGTGTTGTTGTTGTTGTTGTTGTTGTTGTTGTTGTTGTTGTTGTTGTGTGTGTGTGTGTGTGTGTGTGTGTGTGTGTGTGGTAGCCTATCCGTTCGAAAAGTTGGGTGCTCCGAAGAGCGTGCTCTTCGCCAGGGCCACTGCCTCTCTTGGGTAGCGGGTGAGGCAGTCCACCCTCCCTGAATCCTCCCCGAAGAGATACCACTGCCGGATCTCCGAGGCGGAGCATCTCTGCATGCAGCCAGTGCTCCAAATCTTAGGGTTCCTCACTGCACAACGGACAGGTTGGGTCCGATGTTTTGTCTATTCTATTTTGAAAGCCTGCAGCCCAGAGAAGTGACCAGTGTTGTTGTTGTTGTTGTTGTTGTTGTTGTTGTTGTTGTTGTTGTTGTTGTTATCGATCCAGCAACAGTTGGGCTCTCACCCTTCTGTCCAATGCTATGTAGTGATAAGTGCAGGTTTGCTGCAGTTGCTCTAACGTTCCTTAGAGTGGGTTGTCAATGTTAAGTCTCGGAGGGAGAAAGGTAGCTCGTCAAAATACAGCAATCGGAGAAACAGAAGTGTTTCCGAAAGTTTGGAAAATAATGTTATAGAATTTTTGGGCTCAACCTCTTTTATGGCCATATAAAAACACATTTTCATATGTGAGGCAGCGTGGTGAAATCAGATGTCGTCAAAATACAGAAATCGGAGAAATAGGCATTTTTCCCAAAAGTTTGGAAATTTGTATCGAATTTTTATTTTTGGGCTAAACCTCTTTTATGGCCATATAAAAGCACATTTCCATATGAGTTTTACTGAAAAAACCCCATTGATTGAAGGTATAAAATGTGTCATTTTTCTGTTTTCAAGGACTCTTTAGCTAGTGAAGCTACCAATTAATTCTGACGGCCATTTTCTCGCTAATTTCATCACTGAAACCAGACGACCTCACTTTCTGCAGTCGCCAATGTCTTTTCGTCAATTCAAAGATAGATGGACATTTACGCCACTGGAAGCAAGGCAAATAAATCAGCTTTCAGAAGATACCAATAACTCCACATACCCAAACATTTACAAACGTCGTGACACATTTCTCGTTTTAATGTTGAGTGCGGTCAAAAATTCATGGTGTAGCTTATTGTCAAATATTTCTTTATTAACCCTATCCGTACGTCGTGTTTTACTATGATATCCATACGACGTGGGGGAACTCAGCGCCACCACTTTCCAGAGAGGAAATGAATTACGCATTAATCCGATCCGTACACTTTGCAAAACAGTATGCCAAAATTATTCTTTCAGAAATACTGAAAGTTTCAAAGAGATCTTCCCACTAGATGTATTCTAAAATGTGAAGATGACCCCGGGGCGTACGGATAGGGTTAAACTATTGAATTAACCACTTTTTGCACACAGACTTGTATCAATTCGTCTTCCTTAACCTATCAATACCTTTGTAAACACCTGCTGGCAGTATTCCAGAAAATTCCTAAATCTACAGAAACGATCACAACGGCAAGAGTAATCCTACTGACAGCAACAATAACAACAACAACAACAACAACAACAATCTAACATTAAATTCTCTCTCTCTCCCTCTCTCTCTCTCTCTCTCTCTCTCTCTCTCTCTCTCTCTCTCTCTCTCTCTCTCCC